TCTCCCTTTGTTGCCCAGGCTAGAGAAAAGTGGCACAATGATGGCTCACTGCAGCCTCAACCTCCTGGCTCAAGGGGTCCTCCTACCTCACCCCTCTGATAGCCCCCCTATCCCCCGTCACCTGCACCACAACACCTGGCTAATTTTTTTTTTAAACGAACCTCCCACCTCAGCCTCACAAAGTCCTGGGATTACAGGCTTGAGCCACTGCCCAGCCCATATGCATATATACATACATACATATATTTTGGAAACAGGGTCTCACTCTTGTCACCCAGACTGGAGTACAGCGGCAGGATCATGGCTCACTGCGATCTCGACCTTCTGAGCTCAAGTAATCCTCCCATATAGCTGGGACCACAGGCATGTATCACCACACCTGGCTGATTTTTAAATTTTTTGTCCGGACCAGGTCTTGTTATGCTGCCTAGGCTGGTCTTGAGCTCCTTGGCTCAAGCGATCCACTCACCTCAGCCTCTTGAATTGTTGGGATTATAGGCATGAACCACCGTGCCAGGCCCCCAGCCCGTATTTTTAATTTATTTTTATTTTTTTATAAAGACGGGATTTCACTATGTTGGTCAGGCTGGTCTTGAATTCCCGACCTCAGGTGATCCGCCTGCCTTGGCCTCCAAAGTGCTTGGATTACAGGCATGAGCCATCATGCCCGGCCCCCAGCCCATGTTTTTAACCAGAATATTTACTGTCAGAGTTTTCAATAGTCTGGTCTACTTTTTCTCCCAGAAGGTAACTTACAAGTGGCCTTCCTATACCCACCAATACAAACAGAACCTGCTTTGCCTCATGATAAAAGCAATAAGCTCCATTAAAGCAAAATATACTCAAGATTTATTATATGCCCCCTCAGTTAACTATAATAAAAATGCCGGGAATTGCCAGAAATAACAAAATTCTGAATTTATAATTCTTTATTATATTTTCCTACCTTCACACTGGTTCCTTGGGAGAATCTTCCACCTTGTTTTTATCACATTTTCCAAAATTTGTAGTCCATAATACTGAAAATTGGAGAACAGAAGCATGTGAATATATTGCTATATAGGACTGGCAACTCTCAGGATTCACAAATGGACAGACATTCACACATTTACATCTAAAGTTTCAAAAACATTATGCTACCAAGTTTAATTACATATATTAAACAAGTATCTATTCACCCATATACTGAGTTTTCATGCATTTTCCTCATTTTATTGTTTACTATTCTATATAACGTCCTGCTGTTTATACATGCTCACACCAGGAGGAAGAACCAAATAAAAAGCCCTTTAGCAGCCAAATGGGCTTATCTGTTGAAGGAAAAGTAGCAGCCAGATATGAATTCACAGCATAAATGACTACTCAATAGGCTCACGTACTTTAACACGAACAGGCTCCTAAGAATTTAGCAGCTTGGATGCTATCAAGCTTCCTACCATCCTCTAGGAGTTGTAAGCTTTTGGCCAAATATTAAAGTATTGTCACAGAAACTTTCTATAGAAAAGTGTTTACAAGCATCACTGGTGTGTTACTTAAGGAGCAGCAAGACAACCCATGGGTTTATTTTATATTTTAACCCCACCCTTATAATTGCTATTTCTACTAATTTAAAGATAAACTTTTGTGCACAGTCAAAATAATACACAAATGCATGTTGCAATCTGTTATCTACCTTTCAGGTATTTCTTCCTAAATACTGATAGTTATAACTAAAAGTATAAAAAGTTAAAAAATAGAGATACCACTTTCAAGCCATTTTGTCCCTCCTGCTGATTACTCACTCTAAATAGTCAACAATATTTATAATAATTTATAAAGGTCCAGGAATTACTACCTGAATTCTTACTATGACCAATTAGCGTGGATAGGCAGGAGGAAGAAAAGGGGCACAACCGTCGTGGTACATTTCAACTGAATTAGGGAAGAATTAGCTATAATACCTGAAAGGTAAATGCATTCATACATAGACATATAACCTCAGATTGCAAGTTTTGGCTGAGAATAAGAGTTCATCTTTAAAATGGTTAGTCATTACACAATAAAATAGGAGCATTAGTATTTCAACCAAAGGGATCATGTGAATGCTCATTTTATCCAAAGCACAATATAGACTGTCCCAAACTACATTGTGCTCAAACAGTGAATGTTTTTGCTGTTTTCTTTCATTTTAACATTTCACACTTTTCAGGAAAATTTTGCCGCTGCAACTAAAATACTACATTTGCAGAACATTCCTTAAAATCTTTCAAAATAAAAACAAGCCCAAAGCAAAATTCTATAATTACAAATTTGATGCTATTAAAATGTTTCATAATCAGCAGTAAATAGTGATGCTTTCTAACCTGCTCATTTTTAAAAACACAGCTCTTTATTATGTCTAGGTCTGAGAAATACATAAATAAGCAAAAAAGAGAATTTTCCAAATGCCTAAAATTCTTAATTAGCTTTTAAAAACATACTACCCTAAACGTTTTCTTTAACTTTGTAGGCATGAAATCAGATTGTCAAGACTCAGTAAGTCAAAGCAACGCACTGCTTACAATGTATCCTCTTGCCAAAAATCAATTAAAAAGTCTTTAAAACACTAAGAAACAAAATTCACCATATAGTTAGAAAAAGAAATCTTAAAGATAACTTCCATCTCAGCCAAACTTTTTGTCTACATTTTTTTATTTGTCTACATTTTTAATGAAAGACATTGTTCTTTCTTTATTGCTGTATTTACTTCTTCCTATTTCATATTTTATTACCTAAAATTACTATTTAGTAATGTGTAGTTACTTCCTACAACTGTATAAAGGTAGCATAAGCCTGATGAAGAAATTCATATTTCATCTTTCTGCCAAGGGGGTTGAAGCAGGGAGCCCAATCAAAGCTTTGCCCAGGTTAGGTCAGAAGAATACATCTGTTACCATAATATCCTAAAACCCAACCTCTCCCAGACATAAAGACTTTGCCTCTGAAACTGAAATAAAGAGAACTTATATTCTTTTGAAAAAAAGGGGTCAGGCACCGTGGCCCTCAACTACAGTCCCAACACTTTGGGGAGGCCAAGATGGAGGACCAGGATTTAAGATCAGCCTGAGCAATATAGGGAGACACCCTCTATTAAAAAATTAGATTAGCCAGGCATGGCAGTATTCACCTGTAGCCCTTACTACTTGGAAGATTGAGGCAGAATGTCACTTGGGGAGTTTGAGGTTACAGTGAGCTTTGATCATACCACTGCACTCCAGTGTGGGCAACAAACTGAGGTTATGTCTCTTCAAAGAATTTTTAAGTTTTTTTGCTGAAAAATCTGAAGTGACAGTCAAATCTCAAAGCCAATGACACATCACTATAATCCAAACATTCTAAAGAATTACAGTTTTGCTTTACATCTCAGAACTTGAGAAATCCACTGCTGAGTTATGAAGATGAGGGACAGATAACAGCAAAGACTAAATGAAAAAATAAATGCATGAAATGATCCCTATGGTAGAAATTTCTACTGAGCCCTTAGAAATACTTATTTTATGCATTGAATTCCCCTTTCCCCTCCCACCGCCCATGAAACAAAAACAATTGATGAACAGAATTCAGTTAAAGGGAATCAAAAGGGTAGACCTTGTGGAGGCCTGCCGTCAAAGCCTAGCTGTGTCAGTTGCACAGGAAGACACCCCTTTTCTTCCTATTACAAGCAATCAACATAATGGAACATTATGATTAATATCAGGTAGTGTTAACATCTTTAAAGAAAAAAAAAATGATTGCATAAAAGCCAAATGTCATAGTGCATAAATTTAGCACCAAATCATTTGTAATTTATGTAAATTGAAGAATTCTTTACCTGTTGCTTTCTTTCTGTTCCTCTAATCATCTCATTTTTCACAAGACAAATTTGAGTTTTTAAAAATACTGTTGATAAATCAACTTAAACATTAGTAATGTCTGTCAGTATAAAAAGCAAAATTTACCAGGCAAGCAAACAGGCAAACACTGTTATGTTACTTAAGGTTAGCACTTTGAGGAAGTTCTGGACTGTATTTTTGACCTAAAATTTACAAGATGTCAAAACTAATATTTTTAAACTGTTAATTAACACAGTCTGGTTTCAGAAACAGATGTGAATATGGCTATTTTCTGTTTTAACACAATGTATATCAAGTGGAAACCTTTCGTGTATTAAACAGAATGCCATAGTATTTTATTACTTTAAGGCAGTTTAAAGAGAAGTGTGAATCATCAAGACTAAAACAGATAAAACACATTTTGATCAACCCTTCTGTTCAAACTTAAAAAAGGACCCGAATTATAACATTTTCCATTGTAAATAAAAACTGTGAGCTATCCCATTAAAAGCCCAATGCCATGGAGTAGGGTTTTAAGCTGTCCACACAACTTGGTGTCAGAGGTGCCCAGCCTGTATTATATTGATTACTTGCCCAAAATAATTCCTTAATGTTATGTTTCATCTCTGAATAACATTCAGAATTTATGCTACAAAGACCTGTATACATATTCTAAAAAGAAAAAAACAAGAACAGACAACCAAAAGAGCCACCTTGCATACTAGTCCCATTACAAAACTAAATTCATAATTCTTAGGACTATTTGCAAGAATTCATAATATGCTTAAGACTAAATTTAGAAACAAGTTAACAATATAAAATGATTTGAGATAACAAACGCTAATACTAAAAATGAGATACCTTCCTCAAAGTTTATGACTGGAAGAAAAGAAATAACAGATTTTTAAACCACCACTTGCTTACTTTCGTATTCATATTCTGAGAAAATTCCAAAATTGTGTCGACTCTTGTCCAAGCATCAGGATGCTCCTTTAAATGTGTCAGTACTTCTTGAGCCATTCTTTGCTAAAATAAAAGAAAAAAAAAAAAAAAAAAAATTTAAGCTAATGTGTTCTTTTGAATCATTAAAATAAAAACTATTGAACAAGGCACAAATCACAAATCCTAACTGGACAGATTCTATTATCAATGTTCAGAAATATTTTAAAAATTAGACCTTACAGAAATAGAAATAAAATTATGTAAATATGACTCCTAATCTTTTTCTTTTTTTGGAGACAGAATCTTGCTCTATCACTCAGGCTGAACTGCAGTGATGCAATCTTGGCTCACTACAACCTCCACCTCCCGGGTTCAAGTGATTCTCCTGCCTTAGCCTCCCGAGTAGCTGGGATTACAGGCATGCACCACCACGCCTGGCTAATATTTGCATTTTTAGTAGAGACGGGGTCTCACCATACTGGCCAGGCTGCTCTCAAACTCTTCTGACCTCAAGTGATTCACCTGCCTTGGCCTCCCAAAGTGCTGGGATTACAGGTGTGAGCCACTGCAACCAGCCAACTTCTAATCTTTAAAGGGGCAAATATTTCACTTATTTGAAACACAGCAACGTTTTTGGGGAGTAAATCTGGTTTACTTTTTAGTCTCAAAACGCAACTGGATTTCAACCAACCTACTCTATAGCAAATGAGTTCTCAGCATTTAAATCAACCCAAAACCACCTAAGAATTCTTATCTAGGCCAGTAGCAGTAGTTCATGCCTGTATTCCCAACATTTTGGGAGTCTGAGGCAGGAGGATCACTTGAGGCCAGAAGTTCAAAACCAGCCAGCCAGCCAGCCGGGGTGACAGGCAATGTAGTGAGATCGTAACTCTACTAAAAAATAAAAATTAGGCCGGGCGCGGTGGCTCACCCCTGTAATCCCAGTACTTTGGGAGGCCGAGGCGGGTGGATCACGAGCTCAAGAGATCGAGACCATCCTGGTCAACATGGTGAAACCCCGTCTCTACTAAAAATACAAAAAATCAGCTGGGCATGGTGGCACATGCCTGTAATCCCAGCTACTCAGGAGGCT